CTGCTGCACAAGCGTAGTCACAGCCTTCAAGTCTCCTTGTTAGTTGTCAAACCCCATTTCTTCAGCGTTCAGCGTCCAGCCCAACGCCGCACAGCTCTTCAGAACATGCTGTGCTCTGGATGCACTCAGGTGTGCAGTGATGTTCCTCCAGTTTCAGGCTTGCAGACTGGTGCAAGCCTACAGAAGTGTCGGCATCTCATCACTCAGGCGTCTCCTGTTTGTTTATACACATAGCTGTGGGATTCGTGCTGAAATTCCTGCACACAGCTCAACTGCAGGACAAGAAATTGGGGCATACACTAATCAAAGAGCTGGCAGGGGATCCCCCAGCCAACCACTCAGCCCGCTGAAGCCTCACAAACATCCCTTTGGCCAGCAAAGTAAATATGGACAAACACGAACACTGCTGAATGCAGCTGCTAACCCAGCATCACTACAGCCAACCCTCAAATCCTCGAGATGCAAATGTCAAGGCTGCATCTGGTGAAGTGAGCCACCAGCACCTGCTTGGTCCTCAAGCTTTTCTAGGGAGGCTCCAGCCAGCTTTTAAGCCAGTCCTGCTCAGGGCACAAAAAACACAAAGCCATGGAACAACCCGCACGTGAGCGCTGCAAGATGAAGCTCCTGGAAGGGGTGTCACCCAGCAATGGGAAGCACTGGGAACTGTGCTCCATGCCCACCTGGATGCACTGCTCTCACATGGGGATGCTGCAGTGACACAGAGCCTGAGCTGCCCGGCACTCCTTGTGCCACAGCACTGCCACGGAGCTGCTGGCACGGAACACACGCCTCATCACAGAGCTGTGCTGACCAAAGCAGCAAATGAAGTGTTTCAGTGCTGCATTAGAAGATCACGCAGATGCAGAATGGTTCAGAGTCACTGCCAATAATTGCAGCCCTCCTGAATTCCTTAGAAAGTGCTTTGGAAACAACTTGCAACGTAAGACTTGGTGCACACCTAATGCCTGTGGTGTCCATGCTCTCAGCAATATCAGAGCGATCTGCCTTGCTTTGCTGTGTGCAAGGCAGGGTGGGGAGCAGGAGAGTTCAAAACTGGGCGAGATGCTGTTAATGACAGCCCTGAGAAAAGTGAAAACACAGCCAGAGCGTCTGCATGCTTCATAAGAATGCTCCAAGAGGAACTTCCTCTGGGTGAGGGAAGGGAAAGATGAGGAAACATTCTGTTGGCACCTCTACACAACCCCTGAAGTTGGACCTTGGAGCCAGGCGGCTGCTCCCCACCCCACATCACCCAGCACTGGGGCTGTGCCTCCTGGCTGCCAGCCCTGGGCACGCAGAGCCCAACAGCTGAACCCTGTGCTCTGCTCGCTGTGTTGCTCACCTCATTTTTGCTCAATAGAGGAGGGCCCAGGCACCAGGAACTGCTCACGGCACAGATAACCCTCAGAAAGCGTTCTGCAGTAAAGCACTAACAAACATTTTTAAGCCATCAAGCTGTGCAGGAGCAAATATAAAACCCCAAACACAAAACCCCACTTTTTCATTTAAGAAAAAATCATTTTTCCGTCTTTAACCACACTTGGGCTACTCGAAGCTACTGTAAGTGTTTAACCATTGTACCATGTCATTTCCTAACCCAAAGAAAATACTCGCCAGTCATAACTGCAGCAAATTGAGCGGAACACTTGCTGTGGCTTCAGCGAAGGCACAACCAGATCCTTCCCCACAACAGATGCATGCAGGACACCCCAGCTCCCTGCAAAGCCTGTCCCTGACAGACCTACAGGAGCTGAAAGCCCAGCAGCAGCCCCAGTTTCCCCTCTCACCAACAGAGATCCCATCTTTTGATATCGGTTGGTGAAAAGAAGTTGCTTTTTCTGCAGGTTTCTGCTTTCCACTGGGGTGTGTTTTTCTACCAGATATTTTTAGCATTACGGAGCAGCACGTTTGCCCCCCTGGGGAGAGACTTCATCTTTAATTCCACCTCAGCGTTTCCTTCTCGTTTGACTTCTCACAGTCTATCACATCTCACTTCCTGCTTACCTGCATGACTCGTGATTGCAGTGGGAGGTCTCACGCTGTGATGGGAGCTGGGAGCCTCGGGCCCTGCTAAAGCTCACCCTGAAATCCCAACAAATGCAGTGATGCAAAATCTTCTCCACTGAACACTGCTGGGGGCACCTTCTGTGCCTTTTGGACCGGCATTTGTTCTCTGTACAGATGTGGCACCACATCCACACTGTGTCTGAGCAAACAGCTGCTTTCTACCCATCTTCAAACTGTGCTTCTGGGACAGCCAAGACTGAATGCAGAGAGCAGGCAGTGAGACTGCTGCAAAACAGGGACTGGAACATTGTGCTAGCATTGGAGAGAGCAGGAACCAGACAGGGAAGGAGCAGGAAGGCAGGTGAGCACCCCTCCTAAGCACCTCCCTATCAAAGCTCTCTTGTAACACACACACAGAAGTCCCTGCTCTGGGTGCTTACTTTGTGCTTTCTTCACTCACCAGCACTGAGTGTCTATTGCTTAACCTCCAACCTCCACATTACTCCAAAGCTGTTGTTGCTGTCCGTTGGGACATTGCACTCTGGGGACAGCTGAGCTCAGGGGTGACCCATTGGCACCCACCACCTCCTCCCACATCACATCCCTTTCATTTCCCAACCTCTGGCTTTCCATCAAGTGTCAGGCAGACGGAATTTCATATTCCCCATTTCCAAAGCCTTGAAGTTATTTAAAAGGAGGACAGCAGGGCAGGGCTGGCTGTAATTAAGCACCGCCACACATCCTCCTCCCTGCCCCCAGGAGCAGAGCAGCCGAGGAGCTCCTGACCCATGCTGGAGCTGCTCCCTGGCACCAATGGGGCTGCCATTATGGGGGTCTGGCATTGCTGCAGCCACACTGATTGCCAGACACTGACCAGCCACCCAGCCTGCAGAGCAGCCTGGAATGCAGTGATGCATCCCCATAACACAAAGTCACCACCATGCGCTGTTGGTGAGCGTGGCAGAGCTGTTACAACTAGAGGTTGATAACACTCGTGGTGTGTATTTAACTCAGCTGACCCTCTCCACTTTATCTGAACAGCCCTTAAGTACATCCATCTTCTGGTGCAGACAAGCCTGAAGGGTTCCGAGCCAATTTCCCACTCAATACAAGGGCTCAGTGTTTTTAGTATATTAAATGAAAAAGAGAAATTTTGACCCAAGTGCAGATTTGCATTGCAGAGAAGCAGATTTATACACCAGGGAAACGTAAGCACTGGCAGCCACTGGGCTCTGTGCTCTGCTCAGAGCGCAGCAGCAAATCTGTGATACAGTGATAGAAAAGTGGATCAAATCTGGCTACAAATAGGCAAGCTGTATCCTTTCAGACACTCAGACCACAGTGATGGCGTAACTCAGAAAGGGCTCAAATCCTCCCTTCCTACACCCAAACAAACTACTTGCTCGGGGAACAGAACAGTGCTGGACCAGCAAAAAAGCTGCAGCTCAAGAAATGCACCAGCAAGTGGCTTCCTTAGGAGATGCCAGGGGGGGGAAAAAAAAAAAAGAGGAAAACACTAACAAACATCTAAAAGCTTCAAAACAAAGCAAATTACACAGCGTGGTCCTTTAAATGCAAAAGCAAAGGAGCGTGCCCTCCTTCTGGATGCCTGTGCAGCATGCAGCACAGCTGACCCTGAGCTGCCAGCCACTGTCAGGCTGAGCTGCAGCGAAGCAGCGTTGCTGCAAGCAATGGAAATAATGGAGGGCGAGCAGACAGAGCACAGACAGTGAGAGGACACCTTGTTGAACACCCAGCTGCACATCTAACCTGTACATTCACCCGTGACCAGAGGAAACCCATGCACAGCCACCAGCCCCTGCTGGCACACTGACCCAGTCCTCCTCCTCCAAACACACGTCTTCCCAGTTACACCAGTCTGCTGCAACCAACCACAATCAGCAGCGCCTGCAATCCTGCAGCAGCCTAGGGGAGCAGGCAGGGCCAAAGCCACCACAGGGCATCACCCAGCCCTGCTGCAATGCTCCCCCAGCTTACAGCCTCGCCTTGGGGCACAGAGCCCCAGGGATTCTGCTCCCAGCCCCTGCAGTACCACCTCCATGCTACCATAGCTCTGGGCTGCTCCAATCTATGCTCACACACTCTACGTACCCCACGGTCCATGTATCCCACCACAGTGCCTCATCCCATCCCCTTCATGCACTCCTTTCAACCCACACAGGCCCAAACCCTGGGGGCAGCAGTTCTTGGTTCCCCCTTCACTTACAGTACAGACACATCCATGTCCCACTGGGCTCCATCCCACGCCACAGGAGCTCAGACAGCCCCTGTCCCACAGCCCTCCTGCCCACACATTCCACCCCATGCACAGATTCCAACCCACAGCTTCCCCGTTCCACAATCCCTTTGTCACCCCCCAGCACACCAGAAACCCACACCCCCTGTGCCAGTCCTACAACCCCCAAAAGCCCAGCTCACACTTACAAACCCACTAACCCCATACATCTTGTGCCCTCAACCCTGTACCCCATCAACCCCACAATCCCTACCTGCCCCACAGTCCTACAACACTCCTATGCCCACACCTCACCTCAAGCAGCACAGTTCTCAGTCTCCCAGCCCCATATGCACCCCCACTCTAAGATCTCTCCAGCCCACACACCTCCATTCCTTCTCCGCAGCCCTACAGCACCCCAACCCTACATACCCCACAAATCTAAGCTCCCATAAAGCTCAGTGCTCACCTCGAGAGCCTAGACACACTTAACACCCCACTGCCTTCCACACATCCCACACCACAGCTCCAAACTCCCACCTCCTACCCCAAAGCCCTGCAGCCCCTCAGCCCTCCACAGCCCTTATACCACACAGCCACCCATAACAACCCTCCCACAGCCTCAAGCCCTATGCTCACCTCTGAACACAGCCCAGCTGCCCCACGGGCCCGCAGCTTCTCGGCCCCACAGAGCTTCCCAGGCCTGCAGCCCCACAGCCCTACAATGCCTTCATCCCTCACAGCCCCCCCGGCTCACCTCAGCAGACTGGACAGCGGGTGCCCCACACCACCACCTCCACCTCCTCCTCCTCCACCGCCGCTTCCACTGCCTCCACCACCCCCGGAACCTCCACCACCACCTCCTCCGCTTCCCCCGGAACCGAAACCGGAGCTGAGGCGTTTTCCCGACAGCAGTTTCTCTACGGCGGGCAGGTTCCCGGTACGGGCGGCCTCCAGCAGCTCCTGCTCCTTCCCCATGGCCCGGCCCGGCCGCCGCCACCGCCTCCCGCCAGGCCACGCCCCGGAAGGATGCTCGGGGGGCGTGGCCTGCGGGTGCGTGGGCGTGGTCTGAGGGACCCGTTTGTGCTATTGCGAATGGGCGTGGCCTAATGTATCCGGCGTGGCCTAATGTAGCTGGGCGTGGTCTGCACTGAGTGGGCGTGGTCTGCACTAGTGGGCGTGGCCTGCTATCCCGCAGGGCGCTCAGGAGGACTCGTATTTTCATCCCCTTCCTTTTCATGAAGGAATGAAGCGCGTACAGAACACAGCCCTGCAAAACGATGCATTAAACCCGCAACCTCAGCTACAGACGAGGCAGATTTCCACCTTAAAGAGGTTAGAAACATTTCCGTGTGCAGTCGCTTCAAGCAGCCGTCTCCGCTTGAAGAGCTGCCACAGCTTTCAGGTCGGAAGCAGAATCCTGAACTTGCTTTCAGCTCCCGAAGGAGCTTCGTGGGGGGCAAAGGTCCCGTCCCCAAGCTGAGCTCAACTTCCGAAGGCCCCACGGCGCTCAGACCCATGGAAGCCCCGTTGCCATAACGACAGCGCCCCCACCCGCCGGCCGCTGTAGTGTGACGTCATCACTGCGCGACGGCGCGACGCGGGGCGATGGCGGAACCCGGAGAGCCGGGTCGGGAGGAGAGAGGGAGCGGCGCCGAGCGGGAGCCGTCACCCACCGCCTCATCCCCTACCGGGGGCGGCACTGAGGCCGCGGAGGAACCGGCGGCCGCGGAGGGGGCGGCAGAGGGGGAGGCGAGGGAGGCTGGAGGCGGCGGGGAGCTGAAGGTGGAGGCAGCGGACGGGGAGGTGAGGGCACGGCGCCGGGCTCGGCCGTGAGGGGCGGGGAGCGGGAAGCGAACGGGGCCGCCGCCACAGCGCCGCTCTCTCGTGCAGGTGAGGAGCGCGGAGGGGGAGGCGCTGGACGGGGAGGATCTGAGCCTGCAGCCGTCGGCGGCCAAGAAGGTGAAGCTGGAGCTGAAGGAGAGGAAGGAGAGGAAGCACAAAGTGGACGAAGATGAGATCCAGAAGATGCAGTGAGTGCGCCCGGGGCGGGGGGTTCTGACAGGGCTGGAGGCGTTCAGTCCAAATGCGATGCGAGGCCCCCCCGAGGGGAATGGCTCTGTTGGGACACCACAGCCATCGGGTTTGGGTGGTGCTGTGCGGGGCCAGGAGTTTGGTGTGGGATCCCTATGTTTCCCTTCCAACCCAGGATGTTCTGTATCTGCAGCTCTTTCCCAGATCCCTCTGAGCTGCCTCACCATCTGCGTTGCAAATCTTAACACAACTGGAGTGCTGTTGTTTTCTTTCCAGCTCTTTTTTATGCTGCTGGGAGGCTGAGGATGGTTGTAATGCTTTACAGAACTGTGTCAGCAGCCTAACGAGCTTCAGAATTGTGCCTGTTTGGTTTCTTTAAATCTCTGTAAGTGATTCATTCTCTCCCCTCCAGAATACTGGTCTCCTCCTTTTCTGAAGAACAGCTGAATCGTTACGAGATGTATCGCCGCTCTGCCTTCCCCAAAGCTGCTATCAAACGGGTACGACTTCAGTCATGCCTCAGCACAAAGCAAACGGGCTGAGCCTGGCCACACTCCCAGCCCAGCCTCACACACGTACATAAACTTATTACTATGGGGGGCTCAGCAGTTCAGGACTGTGGGCATTCACTCCCTCCCCTCCAGCCACATCTCAGCCTTTGTGGCCGTCCCTAGATCTGCTTATCTGGTTATGTTGTACTCAGTGCCCCCGTGGGGTTTATGCAGTTTAAATAGGAGCTTATCTCACATGAAAGTAGTTTGGGGGACAGTTGCTAGTACAGATCTGTAGCTGAATAAAAGTAATCTAAAATTGTTACAGCTAGCATGTGCCCACAGCTATAGGACCTTATTCCAAAGATCATTCACTGCTGTTTCTGCTCATTTTGTTTACTGATGCTTGATTTGGCAGGCTCCAATTACTAAATATAATGTGAAATATTTCACTGTTGCTGCATGTGCCTCATTTGACTGACTGCCTCTTCTTGGTTTGTGCAGCTGATCCAGTCCATCACGGGCACATCTGTCTCTCAGAACGTGGTTATTGCTATGTCTGGCATTTCCAAGGTCTTCGTTGGGGAAGTGGTGGAGGAAGGTGAGCAAATCACATTATTGTTCAGTAAAAGGTTAAGAACACAGAGAGAGTGCGTTGTTTAAAGCAGAACAGAAGGACATGAGATAAAGCTGGACTTTTGTGGCTTCTTCTCCAGGTCTGCAGCTTGACACGCTGCCCTGCAGAGCCCTCCTGCTTTCAGCAGCAGCAGCAGAAAGCTGCTGTTGAGACTCAGGGGGAAGTGTGGCGTTGTCCATATTCCACTCTAATGCTGTTAATATAATTGCCCATAAACCAGTAGAGATCAATGAGTGCCTTCCTCCTTTTTTATCTTTTCTGCAGAAGATAACTTAGAAGTTCTTGCTCCTACATGAGTAGGCTGCAGTGCCAAAGCAAAGATCTCATTAATACTACTGTGACAAATTCAGCTTAGAAGGGAAATGCGTTATTTAAGCCTCTTAACCTGCAAGATTCTTTGTTACTGCAGTGAGCTGAGATCTCCTTGGCCTGTGCAAGGCTGACCCAGCTGTGTGCAGGCTCATGCAGAGGAGGAAAAGATTCTTGGTTTTTGTGCCAACAACTTAGTACAGGCTTGTCACACAAAACACACGGCCTGGATGTGCAGGGATTGCCATCAGCGAGGATGATGCAGCTTTTGGCACTTCTTCTGCTTTGACTGTCTGCAGCTCTGTGTTGCCAGAGGCTGTCTGGATAAGCAGCTTCGCTGCTGTACTTAATTGCTTCATGTCCTTGGCAGGAGACCTGAATGATACTTACCAGAAATGAAGAACAGGGACTGCCCTTCAAGTCAGCTGTAGGCTGTTCCCCCCTATCACTGCTGCACACAAGCTCCAGAACATACTTCACGAGCTGGGGGTGGTTTTACAGTAGCAAGTTTAAGATGATGAAGCCTTGTCAAGCTCTTGCATGACCTAGTCTATTCCATAGCAGCTGGAATGTTGTGAAAAAGCAGCTGATTCTGAGCTGGTATTGGTGCCCCAAGGACTGGTTTTTCTTCAGAGAGACACACAAAGCTGTTTCGTTCTTGTGTACAGATAAAACATGAGCTGTAAACCTTGAGCAGTGTTTCCTGCTGCCTTTATTATCGAAGTTCGACCAGTAGGAGGCTTTTCAAATGTCGCCTGCTGGGAGAACAGCAGAGCTGAGCTGTCCTTGCTCATGTCAACTCCTGTTTTTTTGTTTAGCGCTGGATGTGTGTGAGAAGTGGGGGGAGCTGCCACCTCTGCAGCCCAAACACATGCGGGAGGCTGTCAGGAGGCTCAAGTCACGAGGACAAATCCCAAATTCCAAATATAAAAAGATCATCTTCCACTGAAGTGTCCTGGGATCAGCAAAGAGAAGACAAGTTCAAACAAGCTTCGGTTGTGCACCGTACAGCAGATATGAGACAGAAGCACTCCCCCTCTCCTGCTTGCAGTCCTCTCCCAGGAGCCTCTCAAGCTCAATTCAACGTGGATTTCAGTAACTTCAAGCATGGAGGTTTCTGTGGATTGCTTTCAGTTTACAAAACTACCATGAAAGTTCTCAGCATGGCTCATGGGATAGAAGGGCAGGGAGAAATGCTGAAGCTGCAGTTGTCCCATTAAGCTCATCCCCATAGGAGAGGCTCCCTGCCAGCAGCCCACGAGCAGCACGTTGTGTGCAGTCATTCATGTAGGCAACCATGGGGAAGTTTCCTGCAATAACTGCTGAAGGCCAGCTTGTCAGCTTAGTGCTGTGCGGGCTCGAGGAGGAGGCAGATTCTTGGCCTGGTGCCTCAGGGTCCTCTGATGCAGCAGCCTGCAAAAGAAACGTGCAACATCTTCCATGTATTTACCCACCAGCATCGTGCCTGCTGCTGGCACGGCCGCGGTGGTGTCTCTGTACAGAAGTGTCTTTTTTTTTGTACATTAAACTCGTTGCTATATTCTTAGTCTCGTTTGGACAGCACATGGTAATTGTGTAATGGTGTTGGTGTGATTCAAAGCAGGGAGAGCGCGCTGCGATCTGCCTCAACCAAGCCCAACATGTCCAAGAAGCTTCACGCCTCCGGCATGTATTGCTCCATATTGCTCCATGACCACGAGCAAGGGAACACGTGCTGACAGCTGATGCTTCTTAAGTCATTGCTCGGCTGCTCCTCCCAGCTGTATGGAGCTGCCTGGAATCCATACAATGGGGAACGTGAGGAAGAAAAGGAGGGGGGAAAAAAAATGCAGGAGCCGGTGAGGAGGTTAACAAGTTTAATTTCTTTTCATGGTTCACAGAACCAATAAATGCATGAGTGGAAATATACTGCAACAAAGTTCCAATACTGCCTAAAATTCAAGTTCAGACTTGTACATCACCCACCTGTGCATCCAGTAATCCCCTCTGAGCACACTTCTCACTAAAGGTAAAAGATGCTGAGGCCACGTGCTTTTCCTGGGGTAACTGCCATGTAGTTACACAAAGGATTAAGTTGGCTCTCATAACGTAGAGCCCTTAAACAAAAGGCTCTAAAGAGTAAACTTTGCTAATCATCAGTGGAGTTCTGTCCTCCCACCTACATCTCGTAGAAAGGAAGGGGGTGGTGTTTTACAGTACTTCTCTCCATAAAGCAGAAGATAGTGGAAGTGATTTAATTGTCACACAGAACTGGGGCACTCGAGTTGCTGAAGCAAGAGATTTGCTGCCAGCAGCTTGGGCCCAGCTCTGGTCTGTCTGCCCACGTGGAAAGAGGTAAGGAGCTCTGTGACACTGCAAATAGGCACCGTGTTGGAGAAAACCCCTTCTGCCCATCCATTCCCTATGCTGGCTGGAGATGAAGCTCTACTCAAACAAAAAGTCACAAAGTGTGAAAGAAAGGAACCTCCCATTTTCAAGCAGTTGGTGAATAAAAAGGAAGAATAGCAGTGCATTCCACCTAAGGCA